AAAGATTTCTATTTTCAAGTGATAGGATTTTTCATTTTTCGAAGGTACAAGAATATATATATATTTTTTTTTCTTCAAAGGTTTTTGGAGGTATTTTTATTAAGTGATACGATTATTCATTTTTCGAAGGTACGAGAATTTTTTTTTTTAAAGGTATTCACCTCTAATGATTTGATTCCCTTATTGTTCGCTCAAGATAATGCATGAAGGTATAACAAATTTGAAACTTTGTTTGACTTTAGAAGCAAAGGAAACAGCATTTAAAAGAAAAAGTATTTTGTTAGGATTGCTACAACTTTGTGTAATCGATTGTGTTTATTTTTTGTAAAGGCAAATACACCGTATTTATAGTTGTTTGATTTTACCATTGAAATCTGGAAGTGTTTCCCCGAGATAAAAGTGAAACAGATTAGAAGCGAGAAAGCTCAGATATATATAAAATCATGTGTTTTTTACAGATTTTTTTTCTTTTTCTTCGGCTTATACATGTATGTTAGGCCAATACTCTGTACATTTGAGTCGTTAGTCATAATTCATCTATATACGAGTGAAATTCATTCGTTTTGTAAAATTATACATTTATATGCTTACGGGTAGGGAGGATTTTATTTTCTTTAAAAGGAAAAAAAAGGATATTATATTGATAGTGATTCTCTGTTTACAAGAGGAAAGATAGAAGTATCATTTCGATAGATGTTTAATGTGTTATATATTTAGGTAATCAAAGAAAAGAGAATGCCTTATAAAATGAGGACATTTTTTTGTAAGGGGAAGACTAGTTTGTAGGGATTTATTTTGAACTTCTGAAACTCCCCCTCATATCCATGATTCATCCCTTTCATATTAATAGGTCATCCCTCATTCACATTCACCCTTTTCATCCACCATCCTTTCATCTGTCTATCTCTCTCTCTCTCATTGGTTTCAATGTTCACCTGATGCAGTCAAGCTTATAGTATAATTTACATATACTATGAATATTCAATATATACCCTTTGTTTATGTTTGAATATTCAAGAATACTTTGTGATGCTGATTTGTACTTGTATGGGACTTTATGAATATTTATTGGTTTCTTCTACTTTGCATGGAATGTATGTGGAATGCTCCATAGCATGCTGTTATGCTTTTACACATTAAAACCTGGTCAGTTAGCCAGTAGTTATCAATCGTACCACATGTCTGCTGGGCTGCCTCTGTGTACTTAAGAGAGCTAGGAAATTGTTAGAACCGCAACCCTACAATAATATTATAGAAATTCAAGTATTTATTATGTGTTTCTGTTCAAGCTTGTATTATAGAAAACAATATAGTATAAAGAAAATACAAATTCAATTCATTACGTCTGTACGATGAACATAGTACAATCTTAATGTAGTTCAAGCAAAGCGTGACCAAGGAAAATCATTATATTATTAGTATATCTTATAAATATATATATTTGTGTTTATTATTCATGTATATTTAATTTGAATTCAAAACAAATTGTTCATAGTATTCGGCAATAATGGTCATAAACTGACTTGCTAAACAACAACAACAACAGCCCATTCACCGGCCTGTTTGTGTGTGAAGATGGAGCTGGGGGATTATTCCAGTGAAAGAAACAATAGCCGGATTATCTGAACTACGGTCTGCGCCCACATTGCATTCGCTTTGTCATGATCTGCAGTGATCTGCAATGTTTTGTATGCATCCACTGAATACTAGCTTCAGGTGTTTGTATCCGGAAGGGGGGCACTGTATCCAATGACCGGGTATTTTGTAACGCTTGTATTAAAGGGATAGTTGAGTTCTGTTTTCAGACCGCAAATGCCTTCAAAGTGCATGGTTATTGCTCTTATTCTTATCTACATGTATGACATTTATAGTGCCCTGTTAGAACCTAAAATTGCTATGGAGGTAATTTTAGACCCCAAAATGTGTGAAATTTAGCCAATACGATACCAATCCAGCTACACTTAAAAAAAAACCACGGCGACCGTTAATTAATTATTTAATTAAATGGGCCAGCTAATTGTAGGTAATAAAAGCAACACGAAAATGCCAACAAAAAGGCCAACATCGGCATTGGCTGAAATACGACGTAAAAGGTGTTATTTCGTTTTTTTCTCATCTCTCTCTCTCTCTCTTTCTCTTTCTCTCTCTCTCTCTCTTTCTCTCTCTCTCTCATCTCTCTCTCTCTCTCTCTCTCTTACTCTCTCTGTCTGTCTGTCTGTCTCTCTTTGTCTATATCTGCCAATGTCGTTTTCCATCATCATCTTTCATATCGTTTTCTATTCCGCCATTTGCTTGCAATATAATATAATGAAAATACACATTCAATTCATTCTGTCCGTATGATGGACATAATCATAATCTATTTTAAGCAAAGCGTGACCAAAAAATGTAATATATAATTATATATCTTAAAAACAAATATTATTTATATATTATTCATAATATACACGCATATTATGTGAGTGCATATACGTAAATTAGAATTAAAAACAAACTTGTTCATATTATTCGGCAATAATGGTCATAAACTGACTGACTTGCCTAAATAAAACAACAACAACAACAACAGTACATTCACCGGCCTGTTTGCGTGAGAAGATGGAGCTGGTGGATTATTCCAATGATAGAAAACAATAGCCGGATTATCTGAACTACGGTCTGCCCATTTTCATTCGCTCTGTTATGATCTGCAGTGAAAAAGCAGGAAGTCTATTCATGTTTTGGATTTTCGAACCCACCAGCTGCAATGTTTTGTTTGCATCCACTAAATACTAGCTTCTGGTGTTTATATTTCATCAAGAGATTAAGAAATATAGCGTAAACATTCAGAAGAAGCTAAAATGAACGGAGAGAAGAATATTAAAGTACAATAATAATTATAAGAAGTAAAACTTTTGAATATAAATCTCTGTTGCATCAAACTGATATGACAAAAAATGTTTATTATGCTATATTGATGGTGTTAATATACGTCGGAAATTATACTTAAGCGAAAATATATAAACAAACACAACAGAAAGAAAAAAAAAGAGCCCGGGGGGGGGGGGGGGGGGAGGGTGATTAGAGAGACAAATATCATAATGATGAATACAGTACAGACTTCGTCCAACTTTCTGTCTCTCCAACCCCTCTCACTCATATTGTTTATTTCTGAACTCTAAATATGAAAGCCATCTTCCTTCGCTTGCTTTTATTTCAACCTCAACTGGCAATATGATTTTGTGTGTCTTGTTTCCCTGTTTAATACTTTTTTCTTATCTAATTATCATTCTTTCGCTCAAAATCTATCACAATCACTAACATAATGGCGCATAAAATGTTAACGCAACGTAGCCATAGCATGAAAGGCGAGTTTGATAGAGAGAGGAGAGGGGAAAGGGGGGGGGGGAGGGGTCTATTCAATAAACTACTGTTTAATGCGCAGAGTTGGGCAAAGGCAACGTTGAATGTCCGAGATAAATCATTAGGAGCCAGAGCAAATAACACTGAGTTCCTATAGGAAATATATTTATTCAGATGGTCATATCTCAGCCAATACTTATATTCAATTGATATCAATATTAGGACATTATTTTTTATGCTCTTTCGGAAAATAGAGAAAAATTGAGAAATTCAAACCATAGATTATTGATGACGTCACACTTCACCACTTATTTTAATTGTGTTTATTACCTGTGTAACTGTGTTAGATTCTTTTCATTTCATATACCTGGGGACAAACCTTTGATAGTCTTTTGGTCTTTTTTTGTTCCTCACATTTTTATATAACTTCAAGTTGATTGTTTTATTGAATTCTCTCCCACGATTTTTTTCTATTATTTTTGTCTTAATTCGTCTCCTACCTCTCTTTTTCTTTCCTCTCGATCACTCCTATTGTTTCATTTCATATTGTTTATTTCTGAACTCTAAATATAATATCCATTTTCTTCGTTGATAAAATGTTACGTTAAAACGATTATCTAGTCTGGGTCGTTGGTAAGATTTTTTTTAGGCATGATTGTGCATTCAAAGAAAATAATACTAAGCTGGTAGAATTGTTGTATATACTTTAATTTCTATGTTATGTAATATGTTTCACTCGTTTCACTCAATCATTGAGTTATTAATGTAAATATGTATTGAAATTATGGAAATAAAAACCTCGCTTGAGGATAAAAGAAAAAATGAAGGCTGCTGCTGTTGTTGTTGTTGTTGTTACTTTTTTTACGGCGCTTTCATTCAACAAGCTCATATTTTGCGCCATTCATTTATAACTATTAAACAATCTTTTCATGATTAGTCAAGCGTATTGCCCATAAGTTTATAAATCTTCCAGAAGTCAAATATTGTTTAAGATAACCCAACACAGATTAATGAAGTTTGGAAACGAAAACGAGACAAATGAAGCTACAACAAAGCGAAACATATTAAAGGAAGAAAAAGCATTAATGTATGACTTGTATAAATGTGTGATAAATATTTTTTCTTAATAAGTTATCCCTTTGAGGAAGGGAATCTGAATTCTGACCCTAAATACATGTAGCAGGGGCCGCGGAGCGTTTTTGAGAGTAGGGGGGGGGGGGGAGGTCTGAGCATGCGAACAATCTATAAACCCCTTTTTCAGAGCTTTTATGAAACGTGTCTACTAAAAAAAAAGCCACAGCCACCCGCTTCCGCAGCCCCTGCATAGTTTGAGAGTTACATGGCCTATAGAGGGCGGTCACTTGGTATCAGTTGAAAGCATTATGAGTAGGTCGAGCTCTGTTCTGGAGTCGTTGAAGCATACGCTCTTTTATGCGGGATTTTTGCACACGTTTTTTGAATAGAGGGTTTTGGACGATTGTGGCTTTCACGCAAACTAGGCCGCGTTGCATAAAGCCGCGTGATTACTGCCACTCGAATTGATCCAAGGCGCCTTATCAATGTTTCTGTAATGTTAGTATCTGACCTCAAGAACTTCTCTCTTCATGCTCATACATACTTGAAAAATAAAAGTAAGTGAGAAAAATACAACCTCATACCTAGAATTCTGGTGTCACTGAAGATTTCGCTTTCTGCTTCATCCCCACCGATACCCACAAAAGACGTCACATTGAACGTATACGGCGTATTTGGGGCCAAACCGTTGATGATCACTGACGTCTTGGCACTGCCCATCAGAGTCTCCCGCACTTCGTCGTTGACACGGATCTTAAATCCGTCATAGTTGCCACCAGTTGCTGGAAGGTCGAAGGTCACTTCAAAAGCATCGCATGACGATGGATTTACCATGACATTCTGGGGGGGATTTGGATCTTCGATGGAAGGAATAAAGGGATATTCATCATCAACACAGCTGTCAAAACAAACCTTTATTATAGACAATCAACCACTGGTATCACTTCATATTGACTTAATATGCAGGATAGTTTTGTAACACATATAGTACAGGGGCTGTTTCACAAAACATTTCATCAGTGACAAATGACAGTTTTTGTATAAGCTACTGAAATCCTTGCTTCTGATTGGTTATCAGCAGATTTGTCAATGATTTTTGTCATTTGTCATTGAAAAAAGACTTTGTGAAACACCACCCTGGTGTATACTGTGAGATTTTGGAATTATAAAAATGATAACAAATTAGCGCAGTCTTGCTAAAAGTTGTATGCAAGGTAGACATAGCCTTAATGTGTACATGTCACTACACACACGTGTGGCATGAAAGTGCGGTCCACACATTTTGCGAAAAAAAAGGATGTTCAGGAATGCTGAAGACTATTTCAACGTTTGCAGATTTGAAAAAAAGTATGTTGGATTGGATTTGAAATTAAAAGGTTTGTTTTCTTTTATAGAGTAAGTTTGATTAAAAAGGGTCACATTTTCACATTGTATGCTTGAACAAAGTTTGTGAAAACGGGGTACTTGTATACTCGATAAGCAGGTATAAATAGGGAGAAAATTAGAAGGCATGTTTTAATGCAACAAGGAGTCATATTTTGTGGGAACTGCATTAAAAATGCAAAATAGGGGTATTTGCCAAAATTATAATTTTTAGCATTGTATTTTGCCATCATACTTTTGATAGGGTGAAATCTGAAAGTAAAAATCTTCTAAAATTTGTCTAAAGCTGCAATTACCCAATACGGCTCATTAAGATATGAAACAGAAAACCTGTGACTTTTTTCTAAATCACGCAAAGTGAAATACACTTCATATTTCTGTATTTCACAACACAGATCTCATTTTGCCTTTCATTTACATGTGTTATAAAAAAGTGTTTTTTGTATTTTTTTGCAACAGCAGCAGTTTACAATGCCATATCTGAACTAGCCTTTAGGAGTAAAAATTGTAGTCACATGAATACAAAAATGTGATAATCAAAATCTGCAACTTCATGGTAAAACACTTGGTTTTCACAAAGCACAAAGCTATTTGAAATGTCTTTTGGGGTTCATTATCTGTATATTTTAACTATCATTCAACATTACAAAGACTATTGAAAACTAACGAAAGGCTAATTTCAGCACCTTATGCTGTATCATGTTAGGATTATATAATACATCTCTGTAATGTACACACACTACAACAGGTGATGTACAAGGCTGCTGGAATGCCTTGACTTCATTTTTTGAAAGTCTTTGCGATTATCTCATTCCCAGTTTCCTGGAAGAAATACTTACGATATCTGAAGTGGATCTCATTCAAGTAGTTGGTCGGTTCATCCGATGGAGCATTTGATGCATACAGTAGATCTCCCGGTGAGACAGCGGGAAATGAAGGGAAGAGGACGTTCCCCATATTATTTACTGGCTGATTACCAAAAGTCTGCAATGTACTTCCGAAATGACCAAGTCTTATTTGCTGATTGGAAGACGGCTCGTCCTCGGGCAAGGTGTAAGCAACACTGATAAAGGTTTTGCTGTTTACCGTCACCTCTATGCGGGAGACTTTGGGAAGAAAAAGTGGGAAGAAAAAGAGGGAAGAAAAAGTGGGAAGAAAAAGTGGGAAGAAAAAGTAAGTAGAAACAAGGTAAAGGACTAAATAAATCAGTTCTTCAGCCTCAAATTGGCAACAATTATTTGTATATTCCACCCTTTCATAGTTAAAAAACTTAAAGGGATAATTGAGTTCTTGTTTCAGACCGCAAATGCCTTCAAAGTACATGGTTATTGCTTTTATTCTTATTTATGACATTTCTAGTGCCCTTTTAGCACCTACATGTAACATTTCTATGAAGGTAATTTCAGACCCCAAAATGTGTGAAGTTTAGCCAATACGATCATACCACTTTAGCTCTAGTTTAAAAAAAATACGGTCCCGGTGACCGTTAATAATTACCTGTACCGGTAATAATAACAATACATGGGCCGGCTGGTTGTGCGTATTATAACCAACACAAAAAAATCAACAAAAAGACAACAACGGCATTGGCTGGAATAAAACGTAGGTGCTATTTAATTTTTTCTCAACGGCTGGTTCAATTTATCTAATATTTGTGGTGGTACACCAATATTAGAAATGGTTATATTTATGGAAATTTCAGCCGTTTCTGAACCAATTTTGATCAAACAAAGATGATTTTGTCATTAAAATTGTATGTTCTTTCATATTTGAAACTCAGTTTTTCATTATCTCACCAAAAAAATATATTTTGTGTAGCGCCCTCTGCAACAGAACTCAACTATCCCTTTAAAATGTATATGAAATGAAGCAGTATGAATCAAAATTACTAAAACTTCAACAGCAAATTGCCAATTTATACATGAAAAAAGTTCAATTACAAATGTTTACACTGCATTGCCAGCTTAGAGACTACAGTACATTTACAATGATTATTTTCTATTATTTTGCTCTTCATGAACGGCACAAAGTACTCCAACAGAAATGGACTCATAGTGATGTTTTTCAGCAATGTTTCCACTTTCTGCAGATGTTTAATTTGTCATCCAGAGCATTAATCTGGATCGGATCAAAAGATAAAAATAATAGGGGCTTTTAGATTTGTATGTCGACATAGTGGACTGCTACGTGTGACGTCCTTTTAAGGCACACGTACCAGTCCACTATTTCGAAGTGCAAATCTAAAAGTTCCTAATGAGAGCTATTTGACTGCTCACAGTCAACAACCATGCCTCCGCCCTGCGTGCAACTCCAACTTCCTCACATTTCACCAGAATCCAGACCCCCTTCTAAGGAATTTGTGTAAAGCCCTGTCTATAATGAGGAAAATTATCTAGGGGGAGTCGATACTGTTTTTACAAAATGAAAAACAGAGCCTCTGTGGTGTTCTAGATTGCCGGTCTTAAGGTAGCCCTGGTCTAAAATCGTTTCTCGAAACCGTCATAACTACAAGATCATTGACATCTTGACGCTGTCGCTCAACTTGTTTTTACTTTTTAAAACAGTATGAATGAAATTAAGCCTCATAATCTCTTTTGAAAATTCAGGATAAAATCTGATTGATCGTGACTAGAACTTCATCTTTTTAGCCGATAGTATCAAAATCATGAATTTGCCGATAATCATGGCTTTGTGAAACAGATTGTCCAGTTCCTGACACCTCCATAGGTCGTGGACATAGATTTGACTGTCATGGAGTTGGTTTCATGAAACGACCCCTGTCCGGGTTGCCATGCCCTGTGGTCCGGGCCTCAAGCAGCCCTGGTACTAAAATCACCTGTTCCCCTTTTAATATCTCTATACTCTGTCAGGGTGGTTCACAAGGGATTAACAAATGTAACATCGACAGGTATGAATGTTGATTGTACAGGTTTGAAATTCAGGAACAAGTAAATTGCAGGTTAATATTCATTCTCAACGAAAATTATTCAGGGAATTTTAGTACTAAAATTTCTTCAAAAATGCTTAAAATTATGACTCAGATTTTACTACAGTTCATCTAAGAACCTGAGAGCCCATAAGCAAACCCTTGAGCCCGGCTACAAGGGAAGGGACTCTGTGCTTCGCATACAGTTCATACTCCTTCCATGTTTCAATTTTACATGCTTTAATGGTACAAGAAACATATTCAAAGAATGATTATTGATGTATTTTACTTGTATTAAATTGGCATTCCAATTTCCAAACACAAGCCTTAATTGCTTTCCAGGTATTTGGCTTCTCCTATTGTCTGATCTATAGGCCTACCGGCAATTGTATTGTACACACTGACCTCTATGTGCTAACTATATTACATGATAAATAAACAGGAAATAAACATGAATTTCAATTCAAAATGACTTAAATATCCCACATAAAGTTTGGGGGTTATCATTCTTTATATACCGCATGTCTAGATTCTATGCCTCTGTTTGGTTAAATTTGCGGGCATGAAATTCACTACGGACTGCCGGGCGGTATGGTGAACTTGATGGATCTTTGATTGCGCGCAGTAGAAAATGATGCCTCCGCCTAGAGCGATTTAACAAACCAAAACAGAAGCAATTTTAAAATTCAAGTTTGATTGTAATCCATTAACAGGTGCGCAAAATATCGTGATTACAAGCTATTTTTCATATACTGTTCATGAATAACCCTTTGTAGCGGAGGCAAACAAATGTTGACCGGGCATAGTATTATGTCTTTTTACGGGCGCGCGTAGCTATAGCATTCAAAGAATGATTATTGATGTATTTTACTTGTATTAAATTGGCATTCCAATTTCCAAACACAAGCCTTAATTGCTTTCCAGGTATTTGGCTTCTCCTATTGTCTGATCTATAGGCCTACCGGCAATTGTATTGTACATACTGACCTCTATGTGCTAACTATATTACATGATAAATAAGCAGGAAATAAACATGAATTTCAATTCTAATTGACTTAAATATCCCACATAAAGTTTGGGGGTTATCATTCTTTATATACCGCATGTCTAGATTCTATGCCTCTGTTTGGTTAAATTTGCGGGCATGAAATTCACTACGGACTGCCGGGCGGTATGGTGAACTTGATGGATCTTCGCAATAGCAATAGCTATAGCAATTTAGATACACGGGCGCGCGACCGGCACCATATCAGACATGTACATCGATGAGAATCACGTTACGGTACCGTATTTCATCTGTCTTTGAAATTAATTTCTGAGCTAAAGAAGGATGCGGTATATAAAACAAATGTTGACTGCATGCTTCACTTCGTGTCACGGTAAAAACCATGGCCCTCTGTGATCTCGCAACTGCGCTTTGCCCCACGACTGTCGTCTCGGGGCATAGCACAGCTGCGAGATCATCTCTGGCCATATAGTTTTTACCGTGCCCCTCAAAGCAGTCAACATTTGTATAATGTCTCATGACGATGAACACATTATACATTTTGCATGATTGGTTCACTAAAAGTAGTAGAACTCCAGGCTGAAATTAGAGAATATATATTCTTACTCTTGAGACCAACACCTTTGTGGCATAATGTGGGAGTGTGTTACAAATCGATTGCTGGACTACCGTATTTGCCGGCGTAAAGGCCGCAGTATTTTTGGAAGAGAAAATATTAAAAAGTCGGGGTGCGGCCTTTACGGCGAAAACCAGCACAAATTTGTACATATGGGACTAGATCTACAAACGGTATAATAACTATATATTTCCACACATCTTACCGACAATTTTATCTTGCATTGTTGACATGAAGACGAAAATAAACTTCCATAAACATCTGCCGATAGATTTTGATCTAAGTTCGTGCCAATGCATTGCAAAAGTAAAAGAAGGGCCCGTTTAACGGAGCAGCCGCGAAGCATCCAGCACGCGAAGTCGCCATATTCAATCCATTTCAATGACTAAATCACAGAAAACTGCAGAATATGGTATCAGTCCGTGATGGCCGAGAGGTTTAAGGCGGTGATTTTAGTCACATCAACATTTGTACGCAAGAGATCGAATCCCGACTTTGGCAAAAGATTTTTTTTTTTTTCTTTTTTTTTTCTATTTTTTTTTTTTTTTTTTAAATGTGAAAATCGGGGGTGCGGCCTATACGGCGCTGCGGCCTTATCGCCGGCAAATACGACTTCAAAATGAACACTAACATCAATTGAAGTAAATTTTAAATTACTTACATTTGCTAGTTGACCTGATTGGGAGACTTTTCAACTATTACTCTACTACAAATTTGGAGTTGCTACCGGGTAAGTTGAAAATGAAATTCTAAAATATTATTTCCCTCTCCTCCTGTATGATATACCCCGGACGAATCTGGGCCAATAAACACCAGGGCCCGTATTCAATAAACTTCTTAAGCTTGAAATCTAAGTACTTTTTCTTAAATTTTGGCTAAGAAAAAATCTTAGCCAAAAATCGTATTCTATAACAGCAATGGGGACTTAAGAAATTTGCCTTAAGATTAAGAAGGATTCTTAGATTTTATCTAAGATTTTATCTAAGAAAAGGGACTTAAGTAGCATGTCGTATTCTAATACAATCGAGATATCTAAGATAAGTAAGAAATCTACCCTATATTTAAGCATACTACGAGGATGCTTAAATGGGGCTTTGGCACCGGCAGCTCAGTGATGCTGCAAGCAACCGCTTCGGGTTTCGATCAAATGGAATAAAAACAATGCATGCAGCGCGCGCAGCGCGAGCGCAGGTTATCAGTTGACCTATATAACAACGTAAGCTTCGCGTAATATACAGCGTCGACGGCGCAGCGCGTAGGAGCGCCATAGGCTCTTTGTACTTGTACTAGTAGTATGTTTGTTTGTAACTAAACGAGTAGTAGCATAAGTATGCATAACACTAAATCATGACATGGCTGTCGTATATAAAGAAACCGTCTCTTACTTTATTAGTCTTTGGCGCTAAAGTATGGAAACAGGGAATAATGTGCAATCGGCATAATATTAGGTGAGACAAAATTTGTTATAGTATGAGTCTGATAAAGGTTACATTTAGCCATTTGATTAATTTTAGGCCATCATAACAGTAGACTCTAGACGATGTAAAACAATGAAAGGGTAGCTCCAAATCCAATGCTAGCTAGCGCTGGTCGGCCGGCTAGCGACGGCGCTCCCTTCATACTCACAGACCTGCGGCTGCGACATAATAAGTAAGCCCGGTTGGGCTCCTCGGAGTTGTTTGACAGAAAAGTATAAAAAGCCTACAGTGGATGTTAGATCTAGCCTCAGGTGGTCTTGACTAGACTGTTTTAGTGTCAGTTGGTCAATCCCGAAATAATTATGTGAGCATCGTTCCTCCCTTACGCTCTCCCATACATGTTAGTGTATAATTTTCGTGCGGTGCGATTTTTATTTTAACACGCAAATTACATAGGCAAATCGAGTTGCAATTAATTCAGTTGTAATTCGCTCGAGTCGACCACATCAACTTTCCCACATGACGTCATCGGGTCTAAGAATTTGTCTTATCTTTCGTCTTGGCTAAGACAAACTGCTTTACGTGTTTAGAATACGGCTAAGGCAACTTTCTTAACCTAGACAAATTCTTAGACATTTTCTTAGACTTAAGAAAAATGTCTTAGAAGTTTATTGAATACGGGCCCAGACCCATAGGAGCCAATTCTACACGTAAAGCTACATGTATTTAGGGGTCAAAGGTTATCTCCAATAACAATGCACATGTATAAGCAGGGCTCAACTCTAACAGGCACCTAGGACACCGGGTGCCCAAAATCTACGCCCCGGTGTAAGACGTAGAATTTGGGAGCCTAAAATCTAGGTCCGAATTCCACAAATTTAAAATTCTTACAAAGGGATCAATCATGCATACAGACTCTAAAAAGTTAAATCCAGTATGTGACATTACTATGACAGTTATTACCATCAGTTGTGCCAGATGTTGTGTCCAGTTGGCCTTCTTCTCCATTGTTCAGTTTAGGTTGTACCTGAATATCGTAAGCTGTATCAGGGAAAAGATGGATCAGTTGTGCAGACGTTGAGGTGGTGTTCATAGGATATCCAGGGGATTCCTCACCAGATCCTAGATAGGCAGTAATGACGTAGTAGTCCCAGGCTCCTGATATCGTCCATGAGATTTCAAAACCGAAGGAAGTGGTGCTGTCGATCTGGAGGTTCGAGACTCCTTGTCCATTCTGGAAATATATATGAAATGCATGTACATGTATTATACATGGCCTTAGTGCACGTACCTACCGCCCCCCCCCCCCCCTCTCCCCCCCCCCCCTCCCATTCGGGCCGCTAAATTTCTTCACATGCATCATTGGTTTCTTCATTCCCACTCCATAGAAGCTAGAGCACTTTCGCATGTGGCATGCTTTGACATGCGCACTTGTGTCTAGCTTCTATGGAGTGGAATGAAGAAACCAATGATGCATGTGAAGAAATTTAGCGGCCCGAATGGGAGGGGGGGGGGGGGGGCGGTACGTACGTACGCCGCACCCCAACTTTGATATTTCAAAGAGGAAACCAAAAAAAAAAGCAAAAAAAAACAATGGACAAAACAAAATACGGTAATCGTAATTTTCTCGTAAAACACTATTTTTTTTTTACAAACTGATACCAGATTCATCAATATTTTTATGATTTACCGGAAGTTTAGCTCAAAAAGTGATCGCGGGCAGATTTGGTGTCCGATATATACCCCTACCACAATGTACGGTGTAATGCGAAACTGCATGAAATGGAAAACAAAATGGCGACTTCGGATGGATCCTTGCGGCAGCTTTGTTAAATGGTCCCTTCCTTTACTTTTGCAATGCATTGGCACGAACTTAGATCAAGATCTAATTTAGCAATTTATTTTCGTATTCATGTCAACAATGCAAGATAAAATTGTTGGTAAGATGTGTTGAAATGTCCTGTACCATAGTGGTATAGTTATTGTACTGCTCGTAGTCCCATATGTGCAAATTCGTGCTGGTTTTGACTTGATTTTTTTTTTTTACTCTTTCGCCGTAAAGGCCGCACCCTGACTTTTTGATATTTTCTCTTCCAAAAATACTGCGGCCTTTACGCCGACAAATACGGTATTTTGATTTTAAGGCTTTAATTTCAATAAACATGCTTGTGAAGGGTCTAGCTGGCTAGGTAGCTAGTTTAGTTACGAAAGCTCGGAAAAGGGTCACAAACAATGAGACTTAAGAGTATTTATTGCTTTGCCTCACTATTTATAAAGGCAAAAAAAACAGAAACTGAATGAATACTGACATCGAAACCACAACTCCATCGTTGTATTACGCTGTCCCTACCGATTGAGCTAACGATGGGTGGATGAAAGGTTGGTTTGCATGATTATCATAACCCTAACGGTTACCATGTGCGCATATATTTTTAACAATTTACTCATTCAAGTTCAGTTCATTAATTTGATATCATTTAATATGAATGTTTTTATATATTGTATTTTACATTTGTAAAACATTGCCCAATTCGGCCTTGTAGGCCGCGATGCATTGTTGTTCTTTTATTCTCAATAAAACCATTATCAATTCAATTCAATTCATGCGCAGGTTTTAATAGGGATCTCTCAAGACGTCAAAATAACCTCTGCGTCGCATTAGTGGTACGGCAAAAAAAGACGCAAACCGGCCTATAGTAAAAAATCTCTCATCCACTGCACTCATCTCTACATGTGGGACAACGGTATAGATTTTGCATTGAAATTAATTTTGGAGGTGTCGTTTCTGAGATTTTTTAACACTTGACTGGAGATTGGAAGCTGCACGTTCGACCCCTGGGGAGGCACTTCAATCCCTTATTTATTAGCAAGACATTATTCTAGATTTGCCACGTTCTCTCCACCAAGGTGTTAAATGGGTATCAGATACTAATACTACCGGTAGGAAAGATCCTTGAATGCTGTGACCATGCACTGACATCGGTAGCCAAGCTAGAGCAGTGGTGTTACTATTCCGACTCCTTGAGCACCTTCTGTGGCATATCGTGCCCCCCCCCCCTTTTACATTTTTCGTGCTACAATATAAAATATAAATATCTTACGATTCCCTGCGCAACGTAACGCGCCGGTCTGGCAAGAAAGTGTCCACTTTCAGTGATCGGCCTGCTATGGATCATGGATTGAAGATCTTTCTCCCTTTTTTATCCTCCCAAAACACTTTTTTAAATTATGTATTTTATACATGCGCGCCGGAAGCAGATTGGGATTGGAGGGGCAAACATTCCAGCTAGGGTGCTCATCTGCATCACCACCACTCTTACACGTTACATGCAGGCCCCGCAGAACGTTTTTCAAAAGTGGAGTATTAACCATCAGGTAGAGCATAAATTGGCGGGAAGTCCAGGGTGCAGAGCCCCCGGAAGCTCAGGGGTTTTAGTAGGTATCACAGCTAAATTTTAAAAGTATCTACATTTCATTTCCCCTGCCAATTTTCTTTTAGAGCACATGGAAAGAGGAGTTTTGATACCTCATTTGTCAAATTTGAGTACTTTTGAAAATACGGCCACTTACATAAGAGACGAAATGGTCAAATTTTGCGTAATTAGGCTATAACTGACAATTAGCCATTTTCAAGGTGACGTAATTTTGTAACTAATTGATGAATCACCTTTCTTTTCAAGAAATCTGTATGGATTTCTACATGCCTATTTTTTTCAGGTTCTTTAGACAAATATATTTTTTGGTGGAATTTTTCAAATAATTATATGAAGCCCATTTTGATGCGTGTGACAAATGGCTATTTTTGCGTCGCCGGAACAAGTTTTCATGGGTTTTGAAACATGGCTAGATTTAAGAGTGTCTATCAAGAGGGGCTGAATTTCAGCATATCTGGGGTATATAGCTTAATTTGTTCTGTAAGTTTGGACCATAAAATCCATTTAAATTAATTTTAAATGGCATTTGAAAATGGCTCTAAACTCTTAAAACTTCATATTTTAAAGCACACTTAAGCTTTTTTGTGCGTTTTCAAGTCTGCCTAAATTGAAAACCGTTAATGGTAGGGGAATGAATTTTGGCACATCAACAGAAGGTATGGGACTCACTTCTTTTTAGCATTTTGAGCCATCAACCTACTTTAACTAAAGTTTAAATGGCTTTTGAAAATGGCTCTAAACTTCAAAGAAATACACTCTTCAAGAAGTCCAGATTGCCATCATTTTGCCTTTGGTTGGAGAGAGGGTGAGGGTGAAAGAAATGAGGAAATTTGAGTAGGCCTACCTAACTTATTTACTATATAAACAAAAATAATAACAAATCCCTTTTAATTGAAATTCATGAATTGAATCCACGATCTTAAATTTAAAAACTCTGGGAAAACAATAAATGCCCTTTAAATCCTTGGCGTGGGTTCGCAATCACAACATGAGAATATAGAGACACCAGTATGGGCGGTGCACGGCCGCCGAGCTATCACCGAGTGTGTGTGTGTGTCATTGGGTTTTCATACAGACGTGCATCAATCAGATATGATTACTGAAAAGACACTGCCTGAATTTAATTGGAATTTAATGATTATTTTCCAAAGATCAGAAAAGCCGTCATTACAGTTATTTGATTTAGATTGAAACACACAAAAAAAAAAATTCTGACAAAATTTGATTAAATTTTCACTCTATAAATTGACAAAGATTACACCAGTTTGTTCTTGAATTTCTTAAAAAGTCACTTTGAAATTCAAATTTCACTCGCATGACGTGCGAGAAAAATTGCGAGTGGAAAAACACAAACATGTATTATTGGTCTTGTGATCGCTTTAAAATCTGTTTAGGTTACGTTAGCATAATAATTCCGTCGAAATATATATGTATTTACTAATTTGTTCGCCAAATGCTGCAAATCCTGCCTCAGTTACGATATTTGAAGCCTCAGATTCATGCTCCGCTTCGGATCTTGATGGGACGGCAAGCGGCGGGTGCGGTGAGGCGCCACGTGGCGCCTCGGGTCCCCGAGCGAAGATGGGCGCCTGCTCGCTGTAGTCACTTTCGCTCAGTGCGTATAGACTCAGGGTACTAGCTGTACTCATCGGATTTGCGCTCTAGCGCAATCTCGCGGTCATTCTTAATATTTACATGATCGTATTCTCCAGTAAATTCTCTTTCTTCTCATATCAAAATTGAATTAAAAGTATGTTTTTCTGATATAGAAAAATTGTTTCAACCTTTTCACTCTGATTTTTCACGATCTTTTTGAAACATACCCCCATCATTTTTTATATGAAAATAAAGCTTAAGATGTGCTTTTTCCAACCAGTGGATTTTCAAAACTCAAAGACAAATGGCGTTCAAGCGCATTGAGCTAAAACTAGGGATACAAATCGGCGATCAAATAAAAATAGCGACAAACGAAGTGACACAGTACGAATTAGAGGGTAAATCTCAAGCAACTGTGTCGTAAGTAATTGATGGATTTTGATGAAAATGACATGACATGAAAGACAGAATCCTGAGCTTTCGAGAGACATATAATTTTATAATATTTATTTTTTCCATGATATGAAAATCTTCCTTGAAAAAGAGAGAATTTGCGTGGTTGAGCTCTGCGTGTCCCCACTCAACGCAGCTCTTCTGTGATACCTAGTTTTAGGTATTTAATAACCGTTATATACATGTAGATGAGCAACTAGGGGCCCTTGTTAAGCCTATTTATGTGGTCCAGGGGGCAGAGCCCCCGGAAGCTCAGCATCTTTTTTCTAGATACTAACTATGGTCAGATAAGCACCCAGAGGCCCGCCTTAGGGCCCTTGGTGGGGTCCAGAGCCCCCGGAAGCTCAGGGGTTTTAGGTATTTAATTACGGTCAGATGAGCATCCAAGGGACTGCCCTTAGGGCCCTTGATGGGGTCCGGGGGCAGAGCCCCCGTAAGCTCTGGGGATTTAGGCATTTAATTACGTCAGATGAGCATATTTTGATACCTCATTTGTGACATTGGCAGGTCACTTATTTTTTCTCTCTCTCTCTCCTTCTTTTTTCTCTGTAACATACTTTTTCAAAAAGTGAGGGGGCTCGTGCCCCCGAGCCCAGCCGTTCTGCAGGCCCTGACATGAAGGCTTCTAATTTCAAATAAATATATTTTTTCGCCCGACTGTAAATTTGGGAATTTCTAATTTTCCAACAAACGCATAAAAAGGGACGACTTACAACAAAATTGAGAAAAAATACCGGAAAATAATGTCATTTTGGCAACATTTGTAAATCACTGGCAACGAATTAGAAATCCCCCCCCCCCAATAAATACGCCAGCGTTCAGGGGCTCATGTCCTCACCCCTTTAACAAAAAACACACAAGCTTTCTCATTCTCTCACAATATTTCCACGATATGCGCGTATCGCTATTATAAACACCTCCATCGATAAATATATAGGTGGAATGCGCAAGGAAATTGAATTCCTGAATCCTTTTAACTTTCCTTTTTCTTTGAATGGAATTTTATGTGATTTAATTCAGGTTTTTATTATTGTTATGTTCTTTTGGGTGAAAAATACAAACCATCTTTAGATCTACTCCTTTACTGCTTTTTTTTGGTGGAGGGAGCAAAAATTCATTTTGCCTCCCCCCCCCCCCCCCCCACACACTTTTTGGTTTGGGGAGGGGCGAGTGCCCACCCCCCCCCCCCCCCCACTTCCGGCGCCTATGTAGACTATGTGTGTATAAATGTAAACCCAAAAATAGCGAAGAGCATGTACTACAATTTTATCATACAAAGTTAATAAAAAGTTAAAGGCGTAGCTAGCCTATTAAACAATTTTTTTTTAAACCAAGCAAGCAGTCACTCGTCACATGTGTCCAAAATTGAATTGTAGATTCTCCTGAAGTTCTCCAAACAGTAGGCTACAAGTTCGCGCTCAACACTCAATCAAAGCCAGGCATGTCGCGATCGCCTGTATTACCGATTACGGAATACGAACACTCAGTGGCGCCGCGTCTCTCGCTTCATCACCCTCTGCGATACCAGCGGGAGGGATCGAGGAGCTCGGTGCCCGTCGAGTAAAATTCGTTTCCGACCTAACTTTCCAAGAGAGATGAGCACTTAATTCTTTACCCCTGATATTTACCTTTGCTTTTACACCTGGGAATTTGGGAGAATGTCGTACACCAGAGATTGGTCACTTTGATGAATCGACTCACAAAGAGATGCTCTTTTAAATGGAAAAATCTACCAACACTTTATGTTAGTCCGCTCGAATATCAGCTCATGATCAGCGTACTCCGGATCCACTAGTCACTCCACCAGCACCGCAAAATTTAGACGCTACTATACTTGTGCGTTGACTTTGTCCTCCCCGGTAATTACCTCCTCTCTGCCTCTTTACCTCTCTTTACCCCTCTCCCTGGTCTCCCACCTCCTGATGATCAAATGTTATGCTCTATATGTGTCATTTGAAAGAAAGACGAATAAATATCTTATCTTATCTTATATCACAGGGGGGGGGGGCAGGGCTGCCGCCCCCTATCATTCTCAAAAGAGGGAAGATGAAGAGAAGGAGAAAGAGGAAATTAAGGAGACGAAGGAAAAGGAAAGGCTGAGTCGTTGCGAAATTTTTGGCCCGATTTCAAAATGTTAACCCCCCCCCCCTTGAAAAAATCCTGCGTACTGATTTAACCCCATGCCATTCTGTGCCCCCCCCCCCCCAGTAAGAAATTCCTGGATCCGCCACTGATAAAGAGTATAATTGTTACATCTACCCTGTACTTACATGTATAGTAGTGAAACATGGACTTTAGCCTCTGATACTAAAAAGCGTTTGGAAAGTTGCGAAATGTGGTTTTTAAGAAGAATGGTGAAAATCCCCTGGACTGACAAAGTTAGTATAAATGAGGAAGTTCTTACACGAGCTGGAGTGCAAAGGAAAATGATACGTGAGATGTTGATTAAGCAGTTGAAGTTCATGGGTCACATTACACGTAAAGAAGGCATAGAGAATCTTGCTTTGACAGGGAAAATTGTGGGAAGAAGGAGTAGGGGAAAAAGGGGGATATGATGGACAGTCTGCAGAAATTGTTGGAAGAGAGAGGTGTGAAATAACTGGGAGTGGTACTAATACAGAAGGCTAGGAGCCGAGGGTTGTGGAACAACATGATCGCCAAAGTCAAACGATATGGCACTTAGAGAGAGATAATACATAATAATGGGGGGGGGGGGGGGGGGGGGGGGGAGTAGTGTAATATAGTGAAACTTTGTTTTTATATTAAATTAGTTCCCTGCATCGACATTCTTCCCACCTTCTTTACTCTAAAAACTCAGTAAAATCTCACTAATACACTGTCGCTCATAAAGTTGGAATATTTTTGTTTTACCCCAATTTATGGAATTATTTTAAAAATTATTTTAAAATAATAGATCTAGATAATAGTATACATTCTCAGATTTTATTGAATAATAATTTGCCAATGTGTGTTTTGCGTGACTGCTAAAGCATGTGTATGCTACTATGCTTATCAACTAGAGGACCTATATGCCCTTAAGTCATAAATGACAGTAATGAGGATTAATGCCCCACAAAAGGGCACTAATATAGCACATCGACATGGTTTTGATCCTGGGGCCTCATAGTTACGAGGCCATTGCTTTGTCACTGAACCATGACTGTACGCAGCGGGGGCTAGGGTAGGGGCATTTCCATAAATAAAAAAAAATTAAAAAATGCAATAAATTTTCAATAATTTATTGCATTTTACCCCGGTTCCCAACATAAAAAATCTTCTGTGTGCCCATGCCTTGAGCCATAATGCTTAGCCGTCCAGAGGATTTTTTATGTTGGGGACCGGGGTAAAATGCAATAAATTATTGAAAATTTATTGCATTTTCTGTTGTTTTTTTTATTTATGGAAACTGCCCCCTACCCTAGCCCCCGCTGCGTACAGTTATGGTTCAGTGACAAAGCTATGGCCTCGTAACTGTGAGGCCCCAGGATCAAAACCGTGTCGATGTGCTATTTTAATGCCCTTTTGTGGTGCATTAATCCTCATTACTGTCATTTATGACTTAAGAGCGTAGGTCCCCTAGTTGATAAGCATAGTAGCATACACATGCTTTAGCAGTCACGCAAAACACACATGGCAAATTATTATTCAATAAAATCTGAGAATGTATACTATTATCTAGATCTATTATTTTTTAATAATTTTTAAGATAATTCCATAAATTGGGGTAAAACAAAAATATTCCAACTATATGAGCGACAGTGTACAATGCACTGTCATAAATTATTGTTTTATAATTGTTCACACTCTGAACATGTTGAATATGACCTGCCAATCATTCTTTGAGCAGATTTTGCGTTTTGGAAATATTTTGTCCAGTGCTGATTGAAAAAGAGTAGCCTATTACTGCAAATTGAGAAAATTTATAAGCCTACCCACTTTCGCATAACACTTTCACAAAATTCGTCGTACATAATTATAATTCCTCCACCCCCAATGGCAGACATTTAAAACAAAAACTATACGCTCTAAATTGACTTCTGTTTTAATAATTTTATTTTACGTAATAGACACAACTTCTGATCATCTAACTTTGAAGTGTGTCAATATCTAAATAGCAAACTTGTTGCTAAATAGTAATAATAGTTATTACAATACTACTGCTACTACTAATGATAATAATGATAATGATAATAATAATGGTAATAATAATTATTATTATTATAATAATGATAATAATAATAATACGTATACAAAATAATAATAATAATGATTATCAAAATCTGTTCTGGCTTGGCGCATATCATATTATGATACATTGTCCCTATACGCTTCTAAATAAGTTGGGATATTATTACCCTGGCTTAATCTCTGGCAGCCGCAATCAGCGCTCATCACCTTTCAATGAATAAATCCTGCCATCAAGATGATGTCATTGACTTCCTTTTCTTAAATTTCCGTAGGTCTACATGATTAAATACCACGAACATTAAAATCACGATTAAAGATTTCTCCCTCATTTAATTGTGGTTATACAATAAATATAGTTATGATTAACTTTGTATTACAGATGTTTTTATAATTTTTTTAAAGGTTATATTTCCACATTAACTGCATATGAAAAGAATTTACAAAGTAAGGCATATACAACAAGGTAACAAAACATATACATAATATTCGATTGATAGAACAGTAATAAAAACTATTTAATGGCAAGTCATTAAATACAAATATTGCTAACAATAGTCTGCAGTAATAAGAAGGAAACCTTGGAAGCATTATGCTTGTAATTAAGGTTCCCTTTACATAATACATTTGTTACATAATATATAAAACAAAAAACAAAACAAAAGAACAAAAAACGGGTGTGTGGTGTAGCCAACCAACAAGTGTTGATAATACCAATGGTCTCTATCATGATGACTTTAAGCATTTTCATACTGGAGTAGAAGTTTATGTTTCAAGTGATATTTAAAAGTAATTAAACTTGGCAGCTGTCTGAGCGACATGTCCAAGGAGTTCCAGTACACAGGACCAGTATAAATCAAAGTTTTTTTTTTTATAGTAAAGTTCAATTCAATTCAATTCAATGAACATTTATTTTCTTCCATACAATTTGTCAACATATTTGACATCTGTTCAAACAATACAATTTATAAGTAGGAACATAAATATAATTAAAGAACTTGCATTACAAGGAATAAGGCGCGAAACCCGATAAGCATAGCTTGTAATGGGTACGCCCGAATACACACATACAATTATACATTATAAATGAAAAAGGAAGACTGTCGGGTTGGATAATTATGAAGTTGTTGATTCTTTTGGAATGAGGAAGTTCGTTAGAATTTAATCGAAACATAAAACATTCTAAAAAGAAATTATACAGGTCATATACTTTGAATATAATCAAAGGTAACATTTGAATGCAGTAAGATTTGAAACACAGTAGCTATAGGTTGTTTGTCGATGTCAACGCTACTGGTCATAGATATAGTATAATTCAACCATTACTATACTTACAGCATTTGTGAATAAGCAACATGTTAACACTCCCAGCATCCAAAAGACCCGGAAGTCTCCAGCAGTTTCAACAGCCATATGGTGTTTTTGTATCCGCCCAAGTTACAACGCCAATCCGAACGAGCTGACGTACAAAACGCCGTTCTCCACCACGCAATACTTGAACGGCCCTAAACAGCGCGTGGTTATCCCGTTATGGAAATGTATCCAAATCGGTGGATTTGTTCCCAAAACTTCCTTCTATAAATTGTGTTAAAATTGCCTTTAAGAACAGGAGAATCGAGTCCGGTTGAAGAATAAACCATCAACAAGGGAGAAGAAAGTACCCCTAATCGTGGAGTAGAGTACCGGTGGTGATTTTCTTCCGTGGCGTCACAAAGTTTTCAAGAATGTTTGGAAGCAAAATAGATCCAAGGTGTTGTCACGCCAGCCTTGGAGAAAGATAATTCATTATACCAGTCGGTATCATGTCATAATTATTATAATACCTGTATCGAATTCATGGTGCCCTCCCAAGCATGGGAGGTGCTATTATATTCCGTTTGTATATGCTCTTCATTTGGACGTGAACATTTCTTGTGTGGGATTCGGATGAATCGGTGGAAAGAATTGGGCAATTCCATTTCCGAATGTTGGAGAGAGGGAAGGAGTTGAAAAGAAAGAAGAGAAAAATAGATATTGAATAGAAAGAGAAAATAGGTGAGAGTTAAAGAGAGAGAGAGAGAGAGATAGAGAGATAGAGAGAGAGGGAGTGAGAGAGAGAGAGAGAGAGAGAGAGAGGGGGGGGGGGAGGTATGTTGACAGAGAGACAGAGTCAGGAAAACTTAGAAAGGGAAGACAAGAACCATGACAACTTAATGGCCCGAATTCACAAAGAAGGTTTGTCGACAAACCTCGGTTTGTCGCCAAACCTCCTTTTGTTTTTTACAAACCAGGTTTGTAAAAAACGCGTAAAAACGCGTCATATGACGTACGAAAACCAAGGTTTGTCGACAAACCTCCTTTGTGAATTCGGGCCATTAAGTTCAGAGTAATTGAGGACTACTGATATAATCGAAGGAATAAACATGTGCAAGATAATGAGAAACACTTAATATTATGAATGAAGAAAGAGAGCAAGAAGAAATAGAGAAACGAACAGCATGAGAAAAGAAAGGGAGAAAAGGGGATATAAAATATGGAAATATAATTAAAAAAAGAAGCGAAATGAGAGAAAAGATTGAATTATTAAAAATGGAGAAAATAAAATAGAGAGAA